CAGACGTTTTTACCAACTTAAAACTGTTTCACAATCAACACACACTCAGTATGTTTACATGCTCAGGACAGTTGAGCTACTGTTACAGCTCGATAAGGACAAGTTAACAACTTAGCAAACTGTAAAGTGGTGCTTATATGTGTCGTACATTTCATACATGCTCTCTGCTAAACATTCCAATGCTATGCACGCTCTCCCTATAGCGTATGGTGATATCTCAATGCAGACAACACTTCTGCTCTGCTATGCCTTTATGCTATTCGACCTCCAGGTTTAAGCCCGCCATGGAGACTGTGGTAGTGTTACAAAATGGCTCAGTGGTGCCCCCTACACATTTGTTTTTTTTAAATCAGCTCCTGCAGCATGTTCAACATGGGATTATAAAATTAAACAGGCATGTGTGCATTGTTTGTCTCTACAGTAAAGCCTCTTGGACCCATATCACAAACAGGACCATTTTGAAGTTTTAGTTTAAAAAATGGCTCAGATTAGCCATTTCCAGGGCTCCCTCTGGGATTAACTCCTCCATAGGGGATGAGTCCAATCCACTTCAATTTTATTTGCAGAGCTAGAGGAGACCATGTTGAATTCTTTTTTCTTTTTTAAACTTGTGTACAAGTAGCTCTTTAACTGTCTTCCATATAGTGTTGAAGCCTGGAGACTGGAGAAGAGCAGCTCCTGCAGCTCACCAGCTGTAAACTAACTAAATGTAGCAGCAGCTTGTCTACACTGAGTTTAAACAGACCTCTGCAGAGCTCTGCAATCCCCTGCTGCCAGTAGTTGTAGTAGTAGTGCTGCACTAATCCAATACAAACAGGTCATTACACTGTGCTAAATGTTTTCTCTTCCTTCACTGAACGCTGCTCTACAAACTCATTCTTCTAAAACCGTTTCAAACCGCTTCCCTCTCCCGTCCCCTCTTAAGTGTTTTAATTCCACAGCTATTAGGACCAGATGTGCATCATTTCATTAGCTCGACATGCTTTGCGTCTTATGCTATGGATGAACCAAGGGACGGGGTTAACAAAGAAGCTTTAACACAGAGTTCAGGAGGTGAAGCTCTGCGCCTGAGGCCACCGTCTGTGAGGTCATCAAATATGTTTGACGCAACTGTCGGCGTGATTTACGTGTTTCTGTAATTTCTAACAGGCAACACGGGAAGAGAAAAAAAACAAAACAAACCAAAACAGAGCGATCAGAAAATTGCCTGTGGTGCTTTGGACTTGAAGGCTTTTGGCACAGGAGCAGCAAAACACACAGACAAGCTCTGACTCTGCAACCGCAGACTGACGGGAGCTGGCAGGATAATGCAATCTGATTTCACACGCCGGGCCATAATGCCAGTGCACATCGCTGCCCTGAACGGCAGGAGGAGAGGGACGAGCAGCCATGATATGACAGAAGGAAGAGAGAGAGAGGGGGGGGGGGACAATAGCTCTGAGTGTAAAGTGCAGGATCTTAGATTTCTCCCAGCAGAGCTGCTCCATCTACTCCTCTCACTGGCAGCGGCCCAGTCAAACATGCCTTTGTGCTGACGTGGGAGAGCTATGGGAACATGTTTTCTTCTACTTTTCCTGGCCGAGGCTGAGGCTAAGGGATGTTGGGCTGAGCTAGTGGGGGTTACTCAAATATCCTCAGCGATGCAAACAATCCTTTAATGATGCAAGGGGGCTGTTAAACCTCACTTTTGAAAGAATCAAAAACGCTGCAGCTCATAAGTCTGAAATCACACACAGACATCGCTCCATCACATCCTCCTCCAAGTGCAATTTCATGAATCATTAATCCATAAGTGCCTGGTTACTTTCTGAGCATGAGCAGCTTATTCTCTTATCAGCATCTTAATTAGCTCGATGGCAACTTCAGCAGCAGAAAATATAATGACGCAGGGGTTCAGACGAAACCTGGAGGAGGAGTGTCTTGAGCCTGGGACAGTACAGTTCAAAAAAAAAAAAAAAAAAGCATGAATGGTGGGACCGGCAGGGTCACATGAAGGGATCCTGTTGCCGTGTGGGATTTCAGCTGTGGCCGGGGAACCCTGAGGGACTCATTATGTGGAGATCCCCCCTAACAGAACCACTCAGACAGAGAGAGAGACGTTCCCAAGACAAACTCCACTGCAGAGACGATGGCCTTGTTATATAATAACAGTCATTTTGTCCCACTTTATCTTTGTGAAAGGACTTCACTGAGATGCACCTGCAGCCTTACAGACACTGACATGAGTCGTGTCAGAACGGTGAAAGTCAGCTTTTTGCTAATCAGCAGCTGAATCCTGGAACAAATGACAGTATCTGCTTTGCATGGATGCACTTTTGGACATTAAAAAAATGGTTTTAAACCTCTTAACCTAAGTCTGAAACTGTTTCACACAAGTGTACTTTTTATGTATTCTTCTTAAACAGTGTGATTATTGGATTTGTATATCTTTCAGTACATTTGAGCCTTTATCTTGTACACCTGAGTTTATCCGCATTTTATGCATTTGAGTAATTGTTTCACTCAAATGTCCTTAAATCATTCTGTCTTCTGTTTTGTTTTTTAAGGTTAATTGTCTTCTTCTCTAACTGACTGGATAGCATTGTAAGTGAAGGTCGCCCCTCAATGATCCCTCAAATATGATTAAAGGTTGATCTAAATGGCCAACAGGATATCCAGTGCACAGCGATACCTTCTCAGCTGCGCATGGTTGCAGGAACAAACCATGGAAAATAAATCAATAATCTGTGTTTAGCCTGTAGCTTCCTCAGGTTCCCCCAGCACCTAACAAAACCCTTTAATTTGTGTTTATTTGCTTGATGTTTTTTTTCTTAAAAGAATAATTGGGCGGTTGAAAAAGTCTGAAACAATGAGCAGGTTTTTTTTCTGGATGCACAAAGATGCTGCATACAGAAATTCCAAATATTCGTTGGAATTCCGAGAATTCCAACAACACAAAAGACACAAAAATTACATTTCAAACTGCAAAAATCACTACTTTTTACAATGACTGGAGAGTGTTTGCTATCAGTGTCAAGATTGCCATGTTATATATTGTTTCCTTCCATACACTGATGGACAAAGAGACAAAGAATCCCGATGCAGAGAGTAAACATGCCCGATATGTGAGTTGACAGAGTGAGAGGAGCAGCAGAGACAAAGCCTGGCAGATTGGATGAAATGGCATTTAAGCCTGACTGAGTCACTGTGGGGTTTACAGTTTTGGACACCCCTCCTCCTCCTCCTCTTCCTCCTCAACCCCCTCCTCACAATAAGCAGAGGATTGCCATGCATGGGAAAAGCAGGCAGCGGGGCTATACTGTACAGAACAAAAGGCTCTGTGCGTAAAAGTACGCATGAGTGCTGCCTCCGTGCACGTGTTTGTGCAAGCAGAGCGATGTCAGTGAGCGAAAATTTGTTTTTCATTAACTCTGACAATGATGACAGAAATAAAAGCATCTCCTCTGCGCGCACTCTGACTCATCTGCAGTCAAATGTTTTTACATTTTCAAAGCGGTAAACGCAGTGCTGTGTTTCCGTCCTGTGAGAAATGGAGGATGATGATGATGATGATGCGATCCCCTCAGTGCCATCATCATCGCGTTGCATCAGCACAAACAGACAAAGAGGCTGGATGTCACCGCTGCTCAATTTGCTGTATCACCGCATTAATGGCAGCAGCAGCAGCATCACTCCGCTCCCGCATGAGTCAAACGCACACGTGGCGATCAAACAATAGTATCCCGAAATAAACCCGTTTATTCTGCTTTAGTGGTCTGCAAATACATCCTTCTCACTTCTGCGTGGACACGTGCCTGCTTTTCTGTCAAGAACAGAGCAGCAAAAAATGTACAAAGCATTTTTCTTTCTTATCTTTAACACCTAAGCTCCATGAAATATCATAAAAAATGTGCAGCCAGTCTGTTTTTAAAACAATAATCTAATGTCTAAAATGTGTTTCCCCCGCATCTTTCTTTTTTTCTTTTACTTCATCTTGCACGGCAGCATAAATCACCACTACACCTTTCACTGAGTGCTACACAATAACAAGAGTGACAGGGACTGACTAAGCCACTACACTGCAGCACCCTTTCACATGACAATGCAGGACCGCTCCACCGCTCCGCGCGTAAAGACGCAGCTGTTTTCAGAACGAGTCGCCACACGATTATTAATACATGTGTTATTTAAATTCATTCTACGGTTCAGGCAGTCCCGATCTTTCTTTCTTTTTTGAACACAAATGGTTAATAAAAATGTAAATAAGGGTTCTGTTTCGGTTAAAGCTCCGTCGAGCGCTGCAATGAGGTGAGTCCAACAACACAGACCTCGTCCTTACACAGCAAATATTTTCACGATTTGTTTTTAAAACAAATCAGTCATGAGGTATGTCTTAACAGATAGGAAAAGGCTGGATTTCTATTTAAAAACAACAAAAAAACAAAACAGCGATATTAATTTATAAATAAGAGCATGCTTTGTCTTGAGCTCTATATGAATCTGAATGAGTGTGTAAAGTGACGCTGCAGGTGACAGCTCTTTACGGAGCATTTATTCCCCGGCATGCCTCCGCAGGGATCACCGACACATCTCTCCCTCTATATGTGCAAAAAAAAAACACCCGAGAACCGGGGAGCGCACACGGACACGGAGTGTTGACTCAAAGCACAACAGGATGTGGTACAAAGAGTTGAGTTTCACTCCTGAACCCGCGTTCACACCCAATCACATTTACACCCCTTCACCGCCGAGCTCTCAGGATTCATGCATGCGGTTTATTCTGTGTTTTTCTATCTGTGACTTGGGTTTTTTTTTCCCACATATCACACAAACACTGAGGACTCCCCTGTTCTGTTCTGTTCTGCCTGCCTGGCTGGCTGGAGAAGCCCACCGCGGCACCGCTGCGACACTTACGCAAGTTTACAACTCGGTTATGAGAACGTCAACACACACTGAGAAACACAAAGAGAAATAAGAGCGAGGCGTTGGTTTTAGAAAGAAAACGGTGCATGCCAGCTCACCTTTGACTTTCTATTCTGCTCGTATGCCAGCCCGTGCGTCCGTTTCCCACATTAAGTTCTTTCACATGATGACTCGCTTTGTCGTTTCCTCAAAGCCTCCCGGCTGCACACACATCACTTCTCCCCTTCTTCTTCTTTTTCTTCTTCTTCTTCTTCTTCTCCGCTCAGTTAATTCTCACTGATTTAAAAAAAAAAAAATCGGTCTGTGATTGTACGGTGTGTGTGTGCGCGCGCGCGTGTTTGTGTGCGTAATGTGTGCGTGGTGCTCCCGCGCGGCGTGCCGCTCCGTCTCCGCTGTTTGTTTCACTCGACTGGTCCGCCTCCTCTCTCTCGCTCTCAGTCGCTGCGTTGTTGACATTCGGCCGCTGACGTCACTCTATCCCCCCCTCATTCACAACATCGTCAGCTCCGCGCGGGATTTTGCGTACGTGAAAGGCGGGAAGCGCGAGCGTTGCTCAACAGAATATGCGCAGTGCAGCTTCGTGAATCGCGCCCCCCCCCCCCCCCCCTCATCACCCCTCCTCCCTCCCCTCCGTCCATACACAGCGGGAACATGACGGTGAAAGATGACACAAGGCATTTTTCACCGGCTGCGGACACAAGAGGGAAAACAAATTCAGAACAGTGATGTGTTGTCTTTTTTCAAACCACACCAACACTTCTCATCTTTCTCATTTTACACGCCGATTATCTCTGATAAATAGGCTACAGCTCCGGAATCATATTGATAATAAGAAGAAGAAGAAGAAGAAAAGAAGAAGAAGGAGAAAAATAACGTTGTTTCTATTGGACTTTTTAAAACAGATGTTTACAAAGTACTATGAAGAACTTGGGAATATAACTAATTAAGCATCAATAGTGAGACCAATCTATGGTGGCCCTGAAGGTCAACTACCACTAATACTTCATGATTGCAAAACACTTTTAACTATACACCAAAAAATGTTACAGATCGCAATAATATTTCATGAAACGCAAATGCATATCCAAGAAATGTAAAAATAGTCCATGAAACATCAAAAACATTTCACTTAGGCTACTGCTCAAATACTTCCACTTCACATCTTCACAGATGTTTGATCATTTCTGCAGAATGTGAAATGGTTTTGGCGTCTGGTGAAATGTTTTTTGCAATTATGAAATATTTGAGCAGCTGACCTTAAGGGCCACCATAGCAAACAGTAGTAGTAAACAAAAGGTAATTACAAAAAGCTAAAGCACAAGCAAATTAAGGATTAAAGTAAAAACAAAAGGCCTGAAAACGCTTGTACAGTATAAAAGAAATAAAGCTGAAGAAGTGAAATAATAAGCGTGATAAAAACAATAAGATGAATGATTATAAGAAGACTAAGAAGACAGCATCACATCACAGAAAATAAAAAGGATACTTTAGTAGGTAATTAAAAGCACTAAAGAAAGGTTAGAGTACGGATTACATCAGGAGATTTAGAGCAATAAAATGAATATAGGAAGAGATCATATTAAAATGAGAGACATCACATCAAAGCGAGTCTGTAAAAGTGAGTTTTAAGAAGTGATTGGAAAGATGTCACTGAATCTACTCGTCAGGGAGGTTGTTCCAAAGTAAAGGAGCCCTTACAGCATGGTCACCTTTAGATTTGAGCCTCAACTTTGGGACAGAAGGGCCCCGCTTGAGGATCTGAGGTCACAAGAGGGCTCATAAGAGGTCAGCGTTACAGAAATGTAAATACAGGTCAAGAAGAAGACAAGCTTTAAAAGTTATCAGTGAAATTTTCAAATCAATTCTTAAAGTGACCAGCAGCCAGTGGAGGGAGAAGAGGAAAGGAGTGATGTGATGTGATGTTGTCTGTTAAAAACCAATCAGAAGCCGAGCTGCTGCGTTCTGGACCAGTTGGAGGTGGGAGAGTGATTCATGTGTGGCACCGGGAGGGAGGGAGGTTGTGGTAGTCCAGACGAGGAAAATATATGAATAACTTTCTCCAGGTCAGCAGGGGGCAGAATGGGTTTGATTTAGGAAATGGATCTCATGTGGATGAAACAGGATTGTGTTGATCGAAGGTGAGGTCTGAATCAAAAATTACATTAAAAAAAGAGACGACTCCAAAAATATGTTTTCTCTGCTTTTTGGTTTGTGTTTGATTAAAATCGACATGTTTTATAGAACAGAGATTCCCAAAGCTGCACCATGCCCTATTGTTTATACGGTGAGAAGGCAGACTCAGAACGAACACCTGCCGTCTGAGTTCTTAGAAGTAAACTGACTCTGCACATGAAAAAGTATCATTTGGATTAAAGCATCACGCTCAACTGTTTGTTTTTTTAAAACATGATCGCAGAGTCTGTCAAGAGTTTGCAGGTTTTACTGCAACATAATGTTTATAATCATGATTCTACTGGTTTCACAAAATCAGCTAAAACAAGGAAGACAGGTAGACACATTAGAGCCTCAGTGCTGTGGGATGGTGAGACATTAAAACACACTGAGTGGTAATAAAATGGACATGCAGCGGTACTCACAGTGTGAGTTTTTCAATATTATCAACACAGACCCATTGTCCACATGGACTCTCAATCTCACTTTTACAGATTTGACTTGCAAAGGTTCTCAGAAAGCTGCTGTGTTAAACAAAACATTGATTTCTGATATCAGTGTTATAGTTTTTTTCATGTAAAGGCTTTTCATAAAACAGACAGAATATATCATTTTAGAAACAGACTTTTTAACTCAATGACTCTTATTTTTCATCAGCAAGAGGAAAATCAAGACGAGTCATGGTGAAGATTTGTTGACTCATTAATTTGTTTGGCTCTAGCTGGTCTGTCTTTTAGTGACAATAGTTCCAGTCATCTGCCGCCATAAACTCTCTGACTGAGGTTTTCATTTCCTCTCTAACCAGAGGAATCATGAAGCGCCAGTTTGCTTGTTCTGCTGCTGCTGCTTTCTGCCACCATGCACTCTATACATTATGGTGGGCTGATGTTTCAGGGCATGCTTATCCGAGAGAAGATGAGTTCTGATGATTACATACTCTTCCTTTGTTCATTCCACCATCCGGTGTGTGGAGAGAAACATCTTCATCATAGGCGAGCACACATCTGTGCAAAAAAGTTTGTACCACTGATGGAGAGAGGCAGGGCGAGCCCACTAAACCAACTGCTCCACACTTGCACATGTTAATGCATGCATTCAGAAATCTCTATTCACTCATTCTTGCTGCTCACGTTGACTGCTCACGGCAGATCAAATTGTACATCGGACCAGTGGGAAATGTCCTGGTGCTCCAGACGTCCTGCTTGACAAAACATTTGTTATGAATTTGATTTAAACAAGATTGATTAATTGATCGATAAAGAAACATCTGTCTAGGTTGTGTAACAACAAGCTGCTAGCAGCTTTCTTTGCATTTCAATGTGTCACTTTCTCTTTTGTTTGTGCACTTTCACAAACAAAAGCACTTTAATATGAAGGGTCAAAACAAGGGATGTTTGGGGGGAATATTCAAGTTTCCAGACCGAAGCAAACAAACAGAAATGCAAATGATTATGTTAAATGAGTGAAGCGAGGGGGTGGGAGGGAGGTAAGCCAGAGAACGCTGCGCAGCTTAAACATCAGCAGTGTGAGGGAGGCAGCGTTTTGTTTTGGAGGAAGCTCACATCCTTTTTTGGACAAGCGAACACTCACTGGAGATGTTTTAATTCCATATGTATAAAACTCCCCCCAGGGAGTTTGCATGTAATTATGAATTATCACAGTAACACAGACAGCCCTCTTCACTGAGCGACATTCAAAGAGCAGCTCCCTGTGCTGCTGCACGCTTCAAAACCACAATTTGAGATGGCGCTGCTGACATCAAAACAACACAACCATCAGGCGAAAAATGTGAGAAAATATGGCACACAGTATTTAAAGATGAGAAGGAAGACTTTTAAAACAGGTGTATACATTTGGTCAAAATGTCTCGACTAAACTTAAGTCATAAGTATTTGGCAATTCCATCCATCCATTATTTATACCGCTTACCCTTTCAGGGTTGCTGGGAGCTGGAGCCGATCCCAGCTGTCATTGGGCGAGAGGTTGGGGTTACACCCTGGACTGGTCGCCTGTCAATCAGAGGATTGACATATTAATTATTATCAATTTATGGTTTATTTGATAGGGACAGATACAATATACATAGACAAACTGAAAACAGCATTCCAATGCAAGCATCATAGTGCAACACTTGTCCCTAGAAGGGCTTTTGTGTAGATAAAAAATAAAAACAGTTAAAAAGGAGAAAGAAAGAGTAAACTGGGTACACTAGGATACAGATAAGATTCAAACTTTGTACAAACAGCTAAACATGAGAACAAGTCTGTTGTTGAAATAACCAGGACTTGGCGGATCTCTTAAAGGTGGTGAAGTTCGTGATTTCTTGTTGTTTTTTCTGTTTGCCTATTAGTCAGTGGGCTTGGCACTTCAGGGCCACCATACCTTTCACAGAAAATGTTGTTTGAGCAAAAGATGTTTTTTCAAAATGAAACTCTACAGTTGCCACTTGAAGCTGCTCTGCTGCAGCCCTGCAGTCTCTATAGAGACAGACGACCAGCCACACTCACCTTCACACGTGGATAATTAACCGAGCAATTAAACGAGCATGTCTTTAGACTGTGGGAGGAAGCAGGATTACCCAGAGAGAACTGACGCATACACAGTGAAAACATGAAAAACTCATGTTATCTGACGGGGGATACCAACCAGGAACATCCTCGCAGTGTGGCAACATTACTAACCTAATAATGTCAGTATTATTTTAAAAAACTGCAGTTCCCTGAGACGTCTAAAACTGACTCAGCAAAACATGTTTACAACCTGGTAGAAAAAGAAAAACAGTTTTGATCTCTGTAGCTCATTTCTCTATTCTGGAGAACTTTAATGTAACTCACCTGTTTAAATTATATTAGAATTAAAGTGATGTATAATCTAATAATTAAAAATACACAAACCAACATTCAAAGCTTGTTTGAAAAGGTGAGTCTTGAGTGACGATGTGGATGGGTCAGTGCAGTGTTGAATATGTGGGGAGTGGGTTCCAGGGGGGGGGGGAGTGTGACGGTGGAGGAGAGCAGTGAGGTAGGAGGGGGCCTGGTGGTTGAGGGCTTTGTGTCTGCTAGAGAGCTGAAATGGCTGCAGCTCAGCTTACAGTCCCCAAAAACTGAAGCAAAGAGCA